GTGGAGACCGGTAGCTTACTAACGGAGTTGAGGGTGGGTGACGAGGAGTAAGGAGTAAATGGTGGACCCCTAGCATCGATGGTGGAAAGTGCCGTCGAGGATTGAAAATGGTCGAGGAAAGGGTTTGTCCAATAAGGGAGATAGAGAAAGGGAAGTTTAGGGATTCAAAGATTGAAATTTAAGGATTTAATGATTCAGGGATTTAGGGTTTTGAAATTTAAACAATTTTTTGATGGATTATCGATGAAATTTTCATTGATAAACAACCCTTTTTGTTATTTTTTTTACAAAACTTTTTACCTAATTCTAGCACCAATTCCCACCAAATATGTACCTACAAAATATTTACGAAATAAAATCGGCACTACAACAATTAAAATTTTTAATGACAATTTATTGTGATTGTGACTTATTTTGTCACAAATATTAGATTTTTTATTATGAAATTTTTCTATGGCACTATTGTAATAAATAATTATAACGTATTTTTATTCAATCACTAATAATAGTAATTATGATGGTTTAAACTTTGTCACAATTAAATTGTCATTATAAAGATGTTATTGTGACACAAAATTTTTTGTCACTATAGAATTGTTATTGACAAAGTGAACAAATTGGTAGCAAGTGATTTTTGATAGGAAGTAATGTATTATAAAGTGGTCACTACTAATTGACATTATTATGATGAAAAAAATAATTTGTCACATAATAACTAAGTTTTTGTATCGAAAATTTTTATCACTGTTAAATATAACATATTACTATAAACTATATGTCATCACAATTACAAATTTATCAATAACAATTGAAATTATCACTATTGAAAAAATTATAATGACTAAAAATTTATTTGCCACAAATTATATTAACAAATTTAATATATTAATTTTTTATTGCAATAAAAATTTATGCATTATTAAATTTACTTTTTATTGAAATAACAATTGTAAAATGTCTTAAAATATAAATATATTCAAACCATTAATATTAAAAATTCATCACTAATGTTAGCATATTAATATATATTTACAAAAGATAACATAAATTTAATACAATATTAAAAAATAAAAAATAAAGATTTATAATTAACAAAAATGTTTAAAATAGATGTTGTGACATGCCAGTGTATAATTTTTGTTAGTAGTTTATTGTTCTTAAAAATAACACTATTGATAATTTTTGTGATTTGTTTAATTAATTAATTAATATTAATAGTAATAACAGACAGTTTAAGAAATTATTTAAATAATAATAATAACAATAATAATAATAATAATTCATAAATTTTTAAATAATTATAAAAATTAAATATCATCATGTCAATATATACAATTAAAAAAAAAACAAATTCAAAGCTAAATGAGAGTTATAAAGATTTCTAATATTACCAAATATCATTATTTAATATGTAATACATTTAATTTTAAATATAAGAATAAAAGATATAATATAAAAATAATATTTAATTAATAAATATATTGATATTTGTTGTATTTAATATTGTATTTAACTTTTTATGTAATAAAAATTCAAAAAATTATTTGAAATAAAACTAATTGACTTATATATTACATTTAATGTATAAATAAATTAGTTTTATAATAAACTATTGTAATAAACTGTTGTATTGTATGCAATAAACTATTGTATTGTTTTTAATTTTTTATGTAATAATTATTTTATTATAATAAAATAAGGAGGTGTCAAATTACACCATTTAATGATGAAAAAAAAAGAGTTACCTATAATTGATGCCATTTTTTTTACTATTATTTTGTAACTTTTCAGTGCAATTGACGCCATTTTTTGTGACTTATTTCGTAACTTTTTAGTGAATGGTCACTAAAATTTGCCGCCTAAAAATTACCTATAATTAATATGTCAAATTACACCGTTTAAAGGTCAAAATTTACGGTAAAAAATAATGGGAATGTCAGAACCTGGCCTTAATTTGCCGCCTAAAAATTGGGGGAGGACCAATTTTTATTGAGGTTTAGGCGGTAATATTTTACCCATTAATACAATAAATAAAAGTCAGGTATTATAAAATGAAATAGACTTAGCTGTCAAGTCTGTCCTATCTATTGTGAAGTTTTTTAAGTTCATTCTCAAGATTTTTGGTATGCTTATTTATTCTTTGATCTGAGATTTTTTTTAATTTTAAATACTATTTTTAATATGATTAAAATATTTATATTTTAATTTTATTTTGATTTAGATAATTGATTTTTTTAGAGTATTATTGATTTTTTAATTTAAAATTTTTTTATATAATTAATTTTTTTATTTTATAAATTATGATTATGTATTCTAATTGAAATATTAATTAGTTTTCAAGAATGGTTAATATTTTATAACAGTAATTTTTGACAAATTCAAGTGATACACAACATGATGCTTTTCATATTGTAGATGAGCCTTAAGTTACTTATTGCCTAATCAACTACTTAATACTCTACTTGAGAATTTAAATATCGAGATAAGTCTAGAAAGACAAATTGTTGATTTTATATATAATTTGATTTCAAAATATATATATAACAATGCTTTAAGTAAGTTGAGTGATAAATATGATCGTATATTAAGTTATATATTTTTTAATTGTAAACTTTTTTAATGGGGAATGAAACTCTTAATGAAAAGGAAGAGGACCAATCAAAAATATAAAATTGACCAAAAAAAAATGAAAGGTAATAATCTTGATATCTAGTTTTCTCTTCCACACTTTAAGGTATGTGGTAAGGATGTCAACCTCTTCAAGGAAGAAGTAACAAATTGCGTTCAGCAAAATGCACCTTTCAAGTCACTAATTAAAAAGAAAATTCTCAAAATGATATTAAGATAATGTGGATATTCTCAAAGGTATGTTATATATACATATATTTAAAGTTTTTTTTTATTAATACAAAATTTAATGTGATAAAGTGGTTGTTGATTTATATTTTTCATATTATATTGAGAAAGGCATAAATAAAGAGACATGCTATCTACAAATAAAGGTAAAAATATGGCAAATATATTGCGTTTTAAGGTTTATATAGTTAAATAAATTCAAATGAGTTTCATATAGTTTTTTTATTATGTTTTCAATGCTATATTATTCTAAATTTTTTATTTAAATTGCAGGATAAGTTTATTTTTTCAGATGATGTATATCTTTATGTGATGAAACATGTGCAAGCTTAATACAAGAATCACAATTACCATTTGTACCAAAGCTATCTTGAGAGTAATAATTGTTTAAAAATCCACCAAAATAACAAATTTTGCTTAAAAAATCACAAAATCTGAAATTTTATTTTTTAGAAAATTTTTCTCCTAAAAAAAATTAGCCATAAACGAATACCAAATTTTTTTTTTAAATCTAACACCAAAAAGGGATAAGATTAGTGAAACTTTTGGGACTTTTAGAGGAGTTTTTTGGGTTCCTCAAAGGGTTTAGTTAAAAAAAAAAAAGTGGGTTGCTGATTAAAACTCAAAAGAAAACTTTGATGGAAGAGGGAGGATGAAGTCTGAGGATGCTTTTAAGGAGAAAGAAGCACCTGATGAATTTAGGCACGGATAATGGGAATGGCAAAAGAAATCAAAAATGGATTTTTTAGATAGAATGAAAGTGGCGATAGAGAGAATGAAGAAAAGTGGAAAATGAATTAGGGTTGGTTATTTTAGTATAGATTTAGGTGTTAAAAGAACAAGTAGGAGGAAATGTAAAGAAACAAAAAAGAGGTGGGTTTTTCGGCCTAAAGAGAAGGTGGTTGGATTTATAAAATTAGGTCCAAATCTCAAGTCTAATTAAAACTTTTTTGGGTTCATTAAATTGGGTTAATTCATTAATAACTAAGTAATATAATCCATTTTTATTTTTTATTTAGTTTTTATTTTTGTGCAAATATAAAAATTATGGAATTATTTAAAAAATATAGTTAAATAAGCTTTTAAGAAAATAAAATTATTATTGATAAAAAAGAAAATTACATTATGAATTAAATAATTTTTTTCAAAAATAAAGAATAATAAAAATTATAAAAATAAATTTTATTAATTTAATATTAAATGTTAAGTCACATAAAAAAATATAAACATTTAATAACTAAGGAAATGGATATCAATTTATTTATTGCACTTCAAATACGTTTATATTATATAGTTTATGAACAAATATTTTTAATATATCTAATTTTAGTAATTAATAAATATGATTATATTAATTAGTATATATTTAGATATACAAGAATAAATATTTCTAAAAATAAAATTTATTGAATAAAAAAATTTACTCTCACGGTAACACACGGATAAAAACTGAAAAAATAATACTTTAAATCAAATATCTTTTAATTCGTTATTACTATTATTATTTATAATGCATTTTGAATAAACTATTCATTTTTTTAATTAAAAAAAATTATAAATATTTGCAAGAAAATCCCACATAAAGTCGGGTAAACATTCTAGTTGCTAATTAATAAGAGGCTCATAAAGATAAATTTAATACATTTTCATTTGATTTAAAAGTTATGCCAAAGCAACTAAACATTGCAAGCATTCACATTATGTGTGAAAATTTCCGCACCAGTAATGGACAATAATAATGCACATTGACTCGCATAGGTATTTTTCTTTATTAATTTGATTCTCGATTTTACGTTGCTTGGATTCTCCTAGACACATCTACTATAAATTCATCGAGTTTTTCGTAAAGAAGACAACTTCAACTAAAGGATTTGAAATACAGATAAGTCAAATAGTTCGAGACCTTCGAGACCTTTTAAGGGGAGTAGACTGATTCGTCCCAACTCTAATCGGAAGCTTCAACCAGGAGATCACATCATCAGCGAAACGAAAGGAGATCTCTACTATCATCATGGTTTGCCATTTTTTTTTTCTTTTCATGATGTATAATTAAAGGATTTTATTGATCGAGATGATCGATCATAATAACTTAGTAAGTCATAATTTAGCTATTTTTGACACCAGGAATATATGTGGGCGATGACATGGTTATTCACCTCATGGCACCTGCCAAAAAAAATGATAATGGGTTTTCAGCTCCATGTCAAAAATGTGGATACAAGCGAGACTTCATTGGTGGAGTTATCAAAACCTGTCTCGATTGTTTCCTTGACGGTCACTCACTTTACGTTTATGAATATGGATTCTCCAAGCCAGCCGATGAAGTTATTAAGGAAGCCACTGATTTCCTGGAAGGGAATTTAAGCTTTGGCCCGTATAACTTGTTAACAAACAATTGCGGGCACTTTGCTACGTACTGCAAAACAGGCTCGAAAAAAAGTGAACAGGTCGAGGACGCTGTTGAAAAAGTAGATGATTTTATGGATGATCTGTTTGAAGGTCTCATTCGTATAGCTGCAGGCATGGCTGCTGTGGGAGGCGCTGTGGGAGGAGTTGCTGTTGCGGGAGCTTATTGTCTCGACGCCCAGAGACGCCGATAAGAACAGATCAAGATCTTGGTCACTTCCAGAATTGATTCACAAGGCAAAATGTTATAAATAAGAATAAGGAAGGATATGTTGAGGCCCAATAACTAATGTAGGAAATTAAGGGCAAAGCTAAAGTGTTGAAAATCACGTATGTGTCCGCGAACGTGAATGTGATATATATATATCATATGTATAATACATAAATCGAGAATCCAAGATTCTATTTAACTTAGATTTTTGGATTCAAGTGGTACAACATGTATCTGCTGCAATAAGCAATGGATTAATTATATTAAAGGTTTGCTTTCTCTACCCAACGCTTAATTTTGTTGCCTTAGGTGTGACAAAATTATCTTATATATGTATCAAGGAAAAAATATAGGATTGTTTAATATTATTGTCTTAATTGATCGCATATGATAATTGCATGCGGAGAAAATGAAAAAATAATTCCTTGCAGTATATCTGTTGTGTAGAATCTTTTCAGATTTTCTTTGGCGGACACTTTTACGTGCTGCTTATATTTTATTTCATGAAGCAAAGAAGTAAAAAGAAAAAGGTATTTTCATTCTCATGCACTAGCTAAATTGGCTAGAACAATTTTGATGTAGTAGTATATCTGTTTTTTGGATAAATAATAAAGTCATTAATTATCCAAAAAAATGTATTTAGATAAAAGAAATAAAATTTTAAGAATTTATACATAAAATATGTAACTTTTTTAAATAACCAAATGCATGATTCTACTTACGTATATAGACAAATTCTTTTATACTTCCTGAAGCAAATTAAATAAAATAACTTGAATTTAAACTTTTATAAGTATCTATACATTAGATTAAAGTAATCCCCAAAAATTTTGTTCGTAATTTTAAGCCAAATCAGATTTGATTTTAGTTTTGATTTGAGCGGTGATTTTGGATGTTAATTTTAGATGTGATTTAAATTTAATATTTTAAGTCTAATTTCATATCTGTTGGGATTTACCTTGGATCTCAGAATCCCACATTGAAAATTGTAAGAGTTTTGAATTTGTCTTATATCCCATATTGAGAGTTTAGTAAAGGTATAAGGGGTTTCACCCTTATAAATAAGATATTTTGATTTTGATTTGATAGTTCCAGATAGTTAGACACCAATAGAATAGCTAGGTGAATAGACTATTAAAAAAGTGTAATTGGATTTTGGGTTAAGTTTTGAGTAAGAAGTTTTTGAAAACTTTTCTCATTTTAAAAGTCTTACAATTGTAAAGGTTTATTTGCTAATAGATTGGATTTGGAGTAGATCATTCTGAGTTGGGCCGAAACAAATTTATTTGTGTGTTCTTATGCTTAATTTGAGCTTGCTATTTTGTGTGTGAGTGTTGCGTGTGGGTGTTGATTTCTTAACAAGTGGTATCAGAGCAAGGTTCGAGGTTTAAGGTTCATGGGTCCAAGAGATCATGAAATAGTGTTTCAAGATGTCTGAAGAAGGTATGTCTAGTATGCCTATGCCTAAGTTTGAGATTCCGTTATTTGATGGAAAGAGTAATTTCATGTTATGACAAAGTACAATTCAAGATCTATCAGTACAACAAGGGTTGGATCAGACATTAAAGAGTAGTAAGCTTGAGGGAATGTTTGATAATAGTTGGAATAAGATTAAGAAGAAAACTGTTAGTACTATTAGATTGGAGCTAACCCCAAAGGTAAAATATAGTGTATTGACTGAGAGTACTCCGAAGAGTTTGTGAGATAAGCTTGAGCGTATTTATACTTCGAAGTCATTAATTAATATATTATATTTGAAGATGGATCTATATTCTCTAAAGATGAAAGAAGGTATGAGTCTTCATAATCACCTAAATGAGTTTAATATATTAGTTTATCAATTGCTGGCAATTTCTATTAATGAGTTAAAAAAATGAAAAAAAGGCTCTAATTTTGCTATTATCTTTGGCCCAAGTCTTATAGGCCTTTAGTTCAGACTGTGTTGGTGGGTAGATCTACTTTGAAATTGAATGATGCGACTGTCATGTTACATGAGAATGAAAAGTTTATGAGAGCATAGAACTCATCACTTAGGGGGAATACAATAGCTATAGAAGATTTTGATTGAGAGAGAACTCAAAAAGGATTGATGGATCAAGATGGAGATCCAAGTCAAGAGATAGAAATTACAGTGACATAAAATATTATTATTGTGGTGAAAAAAGACATATTCAAGTGCGCTGCAAGGAGTTAAAAAGAGATATGGCTACTTTCAAAAAAGCAAAAGATGAAAAAAAATCAGAAGAAGAAAAAAGTGATACTGCTACTATTTTGTCTGATGATGATGATGTCATTTTGACGACTTGTGTGGATGAGACTCAGACTTTGAAAGGTGATAAAGGTTAGGTTTAGATTCAGCTGCTATAGTTCATGTTTGCAATTATAAGAATTGCTTTATACAGTTAGATGACAATGAGAAGTATGGGGACATTGTGGTTGCTAATAACGAAAATGTACAGATTCAAGGCATTAGGAGTGTTTGCTTTAGATTTCACAATGGTGTTGTTAGGATGCTTCATCATACAAGGTATATATCGAGGTGTAGTTATAATTTAATTGCTTTGGGTGAGTTAACTTCTTGGGGTACACATATTATGGTAATAATGATTCGTTAAAAGTGTACAAGAATGATAATGTGATTCTACAAGGGAATAGGATCAAAAATCACTTGTACATGCTTGATGGAGGCTCGGTTGCTAGGATCCCTGTGATGAAAGAAAAGAAGAAAGGTAAGCATGTTAGCTTTACAGATTCTATTGAAGTGTTTAGAGATTTAAGTCAAGGGAGAACTTGTTGGGATCTGCCTTAAATCTTAGAATCCCACTTTGAAAGTTATAAGAGTTTTGAGTTTGTCTTATATCCTATATCGGGAGTTTAGTAAATGTATAAGGAGTTTCACCCTTATAAATAAGATGTTTTGGTTTTGGTTTGATAGTCCCAAATAGTTAAACACCAATAGAATAGCTAGGTGAGTAGGCTATTAAAAAGATATAATTGGGTTTTTGGTTAAGTTTTGAGTAAAGAGTTTTTGGAGACTTTTCTCATTCTAAAAGTCTCACAATTGTAAAGGTTTATTTGTTAGTGGATTATGTTTAAAGTAGATCATTTTGAGTTGGGTTGAAACAAATATATTTGTGTGTTCTTATATTTGAGCTTACTATTTTGTGTGTATAGATGCTGCGTATGGGTGTTAATTTCCTAACAATATCTATTTGTGAGCAGCATAACTATTAATAAATTTATCAATTCATGGATTTATGGTATATATGAATCTAATTAATTGTAGGTAAAAGTATTTAGTTATTAATGTTATTTAAGTTTAACGTATCTATTGAATAGTATACATATTCATGAATGAAATTCAAATGGCTATATTTTAGTTTTATTTTTTTCATAGTTTGAATATGCCATAAAGGTATAATCTTTTTATTTGTATCATTAGAAATTAATGAACCCTTCTTTCCTTTGTATAAAAAGTATAAAAACGCATAAGCTTTTTATAGTATACATATTCTGAAAACCTTTCTTTCCTCTCTATAAATTTGAAGTAATGTTTAGTTTGGTACTAAAAACTCAAATATTGCTTTAGAGGAAGAAAAATCGAAGTCGGACGGGACACTAACAAAAAAATGAAGTATTATTGACTATATCAAGAACTAATTAAAATAGTTACATGAACAAGACTGACTAGAAGGACTTGTTGGAGTTGCAAATACACTCTGCTCACTAGGACTCTATTTTAAATGTGAGTCGTCCATCATATTCAATCACTAATATCAGAAAACAAAACAATTAACTCTTTTTAGCTGCATCACCAGGACACCATACAAATTCCAAATCAAGCTCATCCAAAATTTATCATACAAGATTCCAACCAAAGCAATTGAACTTCACACTAGCCTTGGGCTCAAGTACTAGAGCAACCTATTTTCATAACAAAATTTGAAGCTTTATTAAAATAATTTTAAAGTAAAATCACGTGAAATGAACTAAAACATCATATTAAGCAAATAAAAGGCCAACATAAATGATAGCCTTGGAAACAAAACAAAATGATGCCAAGCAAAATTTGCACTAATTTTCTAAAATTCATCTTCAACAAGACAAGCACCATGTTAGCACTAATGCCAAGCAGATTGTCACACATTACCAAGTCTTTAGGTTAAGGAATTCTTCTTTTCATATTTATGAAAGATTTACTCATTTATGTAGCAGGTAGATATTCTTGAAGAATATTTATAAAACTCATTTTTATTTACAATTAGGAGATGGGTTCAAACCTTAATTGTTAATGGAACTTAAAAGGTACAAATCAAAAGAAAACCTACTTGTATTAAAAAATAACAATTAATTGCTTCCAGCCAAAAGCGATTTAGAAACTAAGGTACAACAAAAAGTTCATGACAGATAAGCACATACTCAATATAATTTCACTTTTAAAAGCACTATGTCTCCACAAAGATTTCATCTTTAAACTTCTCTGCAGTTAAACATGTGCATGTATGTGCGTGCATGATGACACCAACAACAATAATAACAATATAAGAAACCAGAAAAGATAGGTATAGAAACCTCAGACGCTATTGCCTTTTGAGACCTAGGTTGGACCTTGGTCCCTTAGAAGCCATAAGTTATAGATGAATTGCAGGAAACGTGAAGACAAAGAACCAGTAGATGAATTAGTTAAGTATACCAGAAATAAAAGTCAAATTCTATAAAGAGATAAAACATCAAAAGGTTATAAAATTGTAAAATGGCTTATTGTTAACACTAAATGATGTTAACTATATTAATTCAAATAGCCATGACCTTAATTAGAAATAGAACAAAAGATTCTTAACCCATTTATTACTATCAAGCCTCAATAAGGACATAGTAAATTTAAATATGTTATTTATTAGCTTATTGCCCACCGCGGATCACCAATGCATCTCAATTCTTTTCCTTGAGTGCTTATGTAGCTCTAAAAAAGATGACAAGAAG